ACTACGTAGAGAAATAAGGTGCTTAACAAAGGTGTTCTCCTTCTAAACTTTATGATTTGTAAACTCACTTTATCCCACTTCCACTGAAAACCCAGCCTTTCCCAACCTCAATTCATTCTTGATTGGTGAACAAGAACAGAAACTACCCCCAGAATAGTGTTTCTCTCTGTAAAATCTTGGGGAAGGGGTGCAATAAGGTCAGCCCCTCCAAGATGCATTTTCCTTGGACTTACAATACATCTTATTACACTGAGAACACCATGTTCCCAACCAGCTTGGTCTCTTTTCTGTTACAAACCTGAAGTAAACAGATTCTACAGCAGCTACAAGTCTGTTACCAAGGCCACTGTATTATCAATATAATTAACATTCACAATTCATCTAGTCCAGCATGACAAGCCAGCTGGGCTACTTCTCATAAATGAACACTGGGAATCTTCATGTCTTGCTTGCTAAGAAATCTGGTGCTCAGAAGCTGGGCACCGAACCCTCAAGTATTGAATTAGAAGTGGGATACCACCTGGCCACCCACAGGAAACTGAATTAGTTACCAAAGCACCTATTTCAACTTCCAAAATAGCAAAATTCGCCGGGCGCAGTGGCTCACGTCTATAATCCCAACACTTTGGGAGGCTGAGGGCGGTGGATCACCTGAGGTCAGGAGTTCAAGACCACCCTGACCGACATGGTGAAATCCCATCTCTACAAAACACACACACGCACACGCACACACACACACACACACACACACACACACAATTAGTCAGGTGTGGTGGCACATGCCTGTAATCCCAGCTACCTGGGAGGCTGAGGCAGGAGAATCTCTTGAACACGGGAGGCAGAGATTGCAGTGAGCCGAGATCGTGCCATCACACTCCAGCCTGGGCGACAAGAGCGAAAATCCATCTCAAACAAACAAACAACACAAAATAGCAAAATTCTGAAGGTCTCCCTTTCCCCTGAATCTTGCCTAAGTTACACACTTGAAGTGAAACAGAACAGACAAAATTTAGTGCCAACTACAGCCTGAGCTTCTGGCTAGGACAAGCATTGGCCTGGTTCCCAGAAGACTGTAATTCTAAAGAAGGTGTGTTTCAAAGAGAGAAGGGCATGTATAGCTTTTGAGCATCAAACGCAGCCTTTGGCTCAGAAGGGGAAGCCAGGGTTGCAGAGTAAGAACCAGAAGTTTGCTCATCACTGCCGGGCAGAGCTATTGTTTATTACTTTCAGAGTTCCAATGTACTTTTCAAAATCAAACTATTCAACCCATCACAAATCCCCAAACCTCAAACACCCTATGTGAAAGCCTCCCTGTTCTTTAAATCAAGAGCATGTATAAACCAGGATACCAGTTTCAACTTTGGGCAGAGTGTCCCTAATGCTAAGGGCTTAAAAGTTGTTTCAATGGTGAGAAATTCAAGTCACCTTCCCCGTTATTGTCTAAGGATATCCCTATGCCCACTGCCACTGGGCTAAGAAGCTGGACGCATATATTCAGATGTCTTCTCCCTGACCTCCTATTTCTGGCATTATAAAGGGATATATTAAGTTGGAAATTCTCATCAGTTTCTCACCTGCAGTTCTCGGTACTTCCTTACACCTATGTGAGAGGGCTCTAAGAGTTAGAAAAATCACCCCAGCCAACTGAAAGGGAAAGTGACTCA